TTTTGGACTACATCTCTCTAACTTTTTAATCTTTCACAATTTCTCATTCTGCTATAATCAATGTATCCCTTTCTACTTTGATAGAATTATTATATGTAGTAAAGTGCAGCATGCCTGGACTATGTACTCAGATAAGTAAAAGTATGCATGAATCATCCTTATGCACAGATGCCTCCATGCACAGCTTTTCTTTAAATCCTTTGAAATAAATGAGGGAAGCTCCGAAGCAGTGCTATTTTTTTCTTGGCATTGGTACCTTCAAGGGTCACCACCTGAAATAAGCTGTAACCAAAAGGTTTAGGGAATATTAATTTAGCTCAATTGTAGCTGGATTACAGCAGTCTTGGGGTCTTGTCTCTATGTTTATGGAGGTCAGAGGCAAAGAACTGCAGAGGCAAGATTCTTCTATTAAATATATGTTATTAATGGCATTAAACACAAACAGAATTCATACACTCTCACACAAACACACAAGAAGCTAAGAATCAAAGGAGTTAGATTGGAATAGAATTGAGGATCCACTAACAGTGATATTTACCAGCAGTGAAGTTGCTCCGGTAGATGTGGTTCAGTAGATGGGATGTGGGGCTCGGCTGTTATTGAGCACTTGGAGTGGCAATAACAAGCCAGGTCTAGCAGGGTTTCGAGTGGTAGAGTGGCTGCCTGCAAACCAACTAGTCCACTGAACAATGGAAATTTTGGTTTTTTATAGGGAAATCTCCACCTGGGGCAAGGTTGTATGAGGTAATCCTCTAGGACGGACATTTCCAAGGTGAGAATTGGAGTGTAAATGAACAGATTCCTGCTCTAGATAGCCCACAGGACCTGACAGACAGGAACAAATATTGCACAGAAATTAGTGTATTGTTCCTTGATAGGATTCCCTTGCCTTCCCTGGGATGTGTAATGAGTCACAGCCCTCTGACAAATCCTAAACTAGCTGATGTAACCCCCTTATTTGGAAGCTATGGCAGATACATTCAGGCTCATGGAGGGGTGAATCTCACCCTATTTCTTGATATCAATTAGGAGACATTGGGTCTTGGTAACAAAGCAGATCCTTCTCAGGCTCAGGAAATGGTTTATCAGAGAGACCAAGAAGAAAAACAGATCTCAGAAAGTTATACTCTTCAGAGTATGGTGGTTTAAGAGTTGGTTCAGGAGTCTCAGAGATCAAGGTTTGAATCCCTGCTCAGCCACCAGGTGAAATTAGAGACAGGGCTCCTGTCTTGTTAATGGTTGTGTTGAAGGGGCAAATTTACCTGGTGAATTTAAAGGGACAGGATCCTTGTTCTTTATTTCACTTGACAACCCTAATAGAAATGTACTGGGGAACCTGGAACAAGTCACAATCTCTCAGCCTCAGAGGAAAGCAATGAGAAACCTCTTCTAAATTAATCCTGCCAAGAAAATCCTAGGAGAGGACGGCCATGAGTTGGAGTCAACATGCAGGCACACAACAACAACAAATTTGCCCTGACATCTTCGAAATCTGTCCTAGCTCTATTTCTCCTCTTCATCATTTCCAGAGAGATCTATTAGCACTAAATTCAATCCATTTTTCTCCCAAATAATATTAGGAAGGCAAGTAGAATTAAAGGGAAACAGTGGTCTCTGGAAGGTAATGAAACAGAGTAGGAACAGATTCTGAAAACTTGGGGGCTTCAAATGAAAAGGCCCGAATGTTATTTACTACAACATGCTATCTTCTCCTGGATTTCTTTGTTCCCATTTGAATGATTTTCTTATTGTTTCCAACTTGGCTCCTTCCAGATGTGTTGGATTTTCACCACCCCATCATTCCTAAGAAGGGAGGGCATGTAGAAAAGGTTTTGAGGAAGGAGGAGCTGTCACAATAGCTGGACAGCCATTGATTGCTCAGTAATTACTATATCTGCATTTGCATTTTAGATACATATTAGCCTATGCATATTTGATATAGATATTATTTCCTCTTGTGCCACTTTTTGCTGAGATACCATATTTGTTGAACCTCCCTGCTAATGCATAATTGTTCTAAGTAGAGAACTTGAATTTTCTTTGCAGAAATATTAAGCTTTTTTTCCACATACAGTTATTTATGTCCATTATGTTCAGTCTGAGTTCCAATTTGAACTATGATGCTATACTATACAAAACAATTCCAACAACATCCAAACAATTATACCTTTATTGGGCCAGCCAAAATGCGCAATCACATGTTGCAAGCTTTCAAAGTCACACTGGCTACTTCACCATACAAACAGGAGAAAGACATTGAAAATGTTAATCTTGAGCCTGTATTTCCTGTTTCTGGTCTTAGTTCAGATGTCAGAGGAGGGCTCCTCCCCCTTTGGCCATGCAGTCGCTTGAAAATTTTACAAGCCAAGGAAGTTTAATGTCAGTTTCCAATCCAAAGAAGATGTTTCCTTGGAATCCAGCATTTCTCTTTCCTTTGTGAAGCCTCAGGCTTCTGTGCAGGTAGAGAACACTGAATTTCTCAAGAAGTCTTCATGTTTTGCATCAGGAAAACTTTAGCTGATGAAAAGGTGAAGCATGCCAATCAGTCCCAATATTAGAAAAAGATCCTTTACCTTTGTTAGAGGCAGAAGCCTTGGTTAGCAAGGTTCCAGTGCACTGGCTCTCTCTTTAAGATTACCCTGTGACAGCTAAAATGCGGTATCTTGAAATCCAAAAAAAATCTAGGGGTGCTGTCTTGGTCATATAGCAAAACAATGTTGAATAATATTTTTTTTATTCATATTGAATATATTACCATAAAGGCTGAAGTCCCACACCCTGCCTGGAAAGATGACTCCTTTCAATATCATGACATTACATACTTAGCAAATATGCACATTTCAGTCTATATTGTCTCTCCTCCTCCTCCTCTTCCTCTTCTTCATATTATTTTTATTTATATTGTACTTTTTATTTATTTTATTCATTTATAACCCATCTGTCTTCCAATAATGGGACTCAAAGCAGGGAACAACATATTTAAAAACAACAGAGATTAAAATGGGGCGTGTGTGCTCATGCCTTCAAGTTGCCTGTTAATTTTTCTATGGCAGAGGTGGTTTTGCCATTTCCTTTCTCTGAAATATATCCTACAGCACCTGGTATTCATTGGTGGTATTCACTGGCAGTCTCCATTCCAAGTACTAATTCTACAAAATCATTAATAAAAGTATAAGTTATTTAAAAGGGGTTTAATAATTTATAAAATTAAACCATTAACAATTAAAAAGCATTGTTGTTGTTGTTACATGCCCTCAAATCATTTCTGACTTATGGTGATCCTAAGACAAATCTATTATGGGGTTTTCTTGGCATGTTTCTTTAGAGTGGGTTTGCCATTGCCATCCTCTGAGGCTGAGCGTGTGTGACCTGCCCAAGGTGGGATTTGAACCCTGCTATCCAGAGTCATAATCCAATACTCAAATCATTACACCACACTGGCTCTTAAAATTCAATAAAAGACCTTATGAAAACCTTAAAGGCAGCATTGTGCAGCATTAAAATCCCACCCCAGCCAGTTTTTAAAAGCCTGGTGGCCTATTTTTTTTTTAAAAAAAAATTTTTATGGAAGAGCAGCAAGGACAAGGCATTGAGTTCCAAAATCTGGGAGCAGCCACCAAGAAGGCACTCTCTCATTCCCACCAATGAGCCTGAGAAATTGGTGATCAGAGAAAAGATTCTCCAGATGACTGTAGATCTCTCAAGGGCTTGTGAAGAGAAAGTGCAGACATTCAAATAACCTCTAATCAAGCCATAGAGGGCTTCATAGGTCAAAACCAGCACTTTGAATTGTACCCAGAAAGAGACTGTCAGCCACTGGAGCTGTTGCAACAAGGGATTTGTGTGCTCTTCGTAGCCAGCCCATTTAAGAATCTGGCTGTAGCTGTGGAAAAAGCTGTACCTTTCCTCAGGCGCAGGAACCCAAAGTGGCTTTCCATTATTTTCAACAAAATTCAGCTAAAATGTTATTTTACATAAGTTAGAAAACAATTAAATAAACATTTTATTTTAAATAGCACATTGCTAAAAACAGTTCAAAAACATTTGAAATATAACTGGGTAGATAAAATTGAAAGCTACAACCATGTTAGTCTGTAGAATCAGTATGCAGAGAGATCTTGTAGTACCTTTGTGTCAGCAATGCCCTTCAGCACTCTACACAGGACAAACAGTCCCTACGGCAGAGGATAAATGGACATAAATCAGGCATTGGGAATGGGAATACGCAAAAACTGGTGGCAGAACATTTCAATCTCATTGGGCATTCCATCTCAGACCTCAGTACAGCAGTCCTTGAACAAAAGAACTAAAAAAGTAGATTGGAAAGAGAAATAGCAGAATTGGAGTTCATCCACAAACTACAGTCCCTCAGCAATGGATTGAATGAAGATAATGACTTTCTGTCACACTACACACATTTCGACACTATCTGACCTCATCTTCAGGGGGGCGTCCTACACTCATCTATTTTCTTCACCATAGGCTAGTTCCATTGGCAAACTGGATTTGCCACTTCATTTTCATGCACAAAGGCTAGTTTACAATGCCTTTCTTCACAAATGACCATTGTTAAAACTGGGCCTGCCCTTCATTTCTATACAGAAAGGATTTTGAATTCAAATTAACATTCTCACACACCTAAGGCAAATATAAGTCTGTGCCTGGCTTACCACTCCACCAAATGCATCTGAGGAAGTAGACCTAAGTCTACAAAAGTTCATGCTGC